CGGCCAACACCTTTAACTCTATGGGCTCTATGGCCAGTCCGCGGACCCCCACCTTTAAGCGGCGGGTTCCAGCAGGAAAAGCTGGAGGCCGGAAAAGAGTGAGACAGGTAGCGCGCAAAAGTAAAAGTGGAACCGAGAGTGGTATGCCGCTGCTGCGGCTTATATTCAGGTGCGCTTTATAGTCCGAAAATTACGGTACAAACTCACTTGGGGTTGAGGCTTTTTTACACGTTGCTTGACTGCCTGCCCACATATCTGATCTAAACATAGTAACGTGTATTGGGGAAAATAATTATTTAAAGTTATTGAATAATTGTGACATTTATTGTACTTTTTGATGGATGAATGATGCTCAAAGTGAGGGGGCAAAGAATACAACTGAGGGGGCAATGCCCCCTTTTGCCCCCTCGTGGCGCCGGGCCCGCTCCACACTACGTCTTACGGTGCTGTGTACCGGAGGGGAGACGCGAGATACGGCTGATACTTGACGATCTGGCAGAGAAAGGTTGTGGAGCCTCCGTTGATATGCCGTTGTAAATGGCTTGATGGAAAGCAGGTGTGTAGTCGGGGAGGGTGCACAGCTGATTGCAGCAGGTGAGTGGAGGTTGAGCCGGGAGCCAGGAGTGACAGCCACCACGCCCACACAAACAACACAGACAGGGGGAAACAAACACAAAGTAGACGGCTGGAGCAGTACAGCCACCACAGCGTTACCTAATGCAACTCCACACTACGTCGGTGCTGTGTACCGGAGGGGAGAGAGAGAGAGAGAGCAGCGAAGGGGGGGAGAGAGATGTAATACGGTTTCCTGCTAAAGCTGTGGAAAGTATCTGCTGCAGGGAGGTGGATGCACAACGCACCCAGGAACGAAAGCTAGCTCCGGTCCTTTTCACGTGAGGGAAACTGTGGACTCGATGTCCTGACAGGCTGGAGTTTGTGCAACCTGCACAAACTCCAGCTCACCATGATTACAAATGGTGAAATGCAATGTGAAATTACCGAAAAAATACCAGCTCACTAAATCATAACCGCTCAAACCAACTACAAACTACTACCGCAGATTGGGCAGAGAACGAGTCCGAGAAAGTTGCTCCCCCATGTGACGTAATATGACGCGTTTGACGTATGACGTTAAAAAAAAGCAGTTTTTAGTAGCAGAGCTCAAAACGGCTCCTTTTCCTCTGAATTCCTGCCCTTATGTCTTGTAAAACATATCAAATCCTGCATTAACATTTTTCATTGTAATTTTCAGGCAAGGTTGAGCATAAATGTAGGAGAAAAAAAAAACCTGCAAGTTGCTCTTTAACTTGCTTTTTCACTAAGCGGCCTGACGCCGGACTGTCAAACTTTGGCTATAGGGTTACATAAATTAACTGACAAAATTGTTTGTATTAATTACTTTCTTTGTCTCTTGAGTTACCATGTCCATTGGGGGAGGTTACTTCCTGGTTCATCGAAGGGCGTGGCCTAACGCTGAGGACTCATAAATACTGCAAGGAACCAATTGGGACAAACCACCTGCTTCCATGTCAAAGGGGTGATTTGGGTTTTGTCAGTGTCCTTTGTGTTTTCTGTTACTATTAATTATCCCTTGGGTTCAACTTGGTTTGGCCAAGCCACTATATAGCTTCCTTGGGTTTTCATTGTAGCAGGTCAGTTGGTTTAGTTAACACCACGTGTTACGTTGATGCCATGTTTCTTTGGGGTATTTTCTGTTGACCTCTTTTATAGGCCTAATTATTAGAAATTATTGATTTATGATGTTTTCTGTGGACTTTTGGGTAAATAAAAAACCCAGTTTATTTAAAACCACTCCTAGTGTCCTGTCTGTTCATACCCCTTTAACTGTGTATATTCATCAATTACTATTCATTCTAAAATGTATGGGTAGATTGTGTACATTACTTTTCACTTTACTGCTTTTTGACTCCTGGTTAGAAGCTACAACTGCATTTTGTTGTTTCGAGTACCTGTAATTTGTTCAATAACTTAATAAGTGTGAATCTAATCTTGAGCAGGAGACAAATGTCCTTTACTTAGTATATATCTGACATTTAGCGATTAACACATTTGTGCATTCTTTATAAAATAGCAACTGCTCCAAGACCACTGACGGATAAGTAGTTTTGCAAAGGTATTAAGTGGTTCTGTCCTTTTACATGTAGGATTTCAACCCCTCATACTGGTAGTTTTATTTGATAATGTTTTTTACATAGAAAAATAGAACAGACAGAAAACGCTTAGATTCGACACGTCATTCTTATACGTATAGTGTGATATCTTACATTATTATATATGATACTTCATATCTTGTCTCAACCGGTAGCAATATAGCATGTGGTACTGGCTAACATATTGAAAAAACATCCGTGACTCTCTGTTAGAACGAGTGAAACCATAGAGAGTCACAACATGATCGCACACTGGGATCCATCGAAGCTGTCTCGTATTTGAGGCACGCGCTGTTATATTGTAAGACGTTTCTTATCGTCATACTGGCGTCTCAAATTACACACGGACTCATACTATGCTCGATCTACTTTCGAAGCCGCCACTAAATAATAATACAAATGATGATATTATTACACTATAATCTTTTTGTCTATATATTTTTAATAATTCCTCTGTGTTGCGTTTTTTAAAAGAGTGCTCAAATGGCCTAAAGATGACTATTACTTCTTGTGCTGTATAATGGCGATAGCAACCGACATTTTGCCTCAGTGTCTTCCAGTTTGTAATAGATAGACAATGAGGGGTCTTACTCAATTCATACAGGGTCTGGCGCTGGCCGCTCAAAGGGCTTCTATGACCCGAGCGCCCGCGATAAAAGATCGGAGTAATCAGTGCTCTCATTGAGGGGTTGATGGTCATCTTAAACGGATTTTTTTCTTATCTGGTCCTCCTACGGTTGTTGGGCTCCCATCGCAGGCGTCCCACATTGCGGCACTGCATTGAGGGGCCCTTAGAAATCGTTCTAACTGTTCCCCCTTACGCGGTCGCACCCTGCAATTAGGAGGTGAATTCCGTTATATATCTAAGTATGCTCTATAGACAGATATTGAGATCACTGTTGTGTAATATGCGCCCGGAACTCACGTAATAATTTACTTTCTTCACTCAGACTGCATCAACGCTCGCACTGCAAGAAATGAGTACGGGGATATATTAGTAAAAATTAATTGGTGGTTGATATTGAGATTATATTGTAGCAGAAAAAATATATATGGCGACTCGAGGTGATTTTCTCGGTTATTTAGGTCAGTTTTATTTTTTTTTTTGTGCCTTGCTAATTATTTGCAGGTGTACTGTGTGTGGTTGTGCGGNCAGTTTATGTTGAAACCGTTAGAAAGAGTGGCACACTTGTTGGCCTGTTCCATTTTTCTTTGTTTTCCGAAGCCGTGGCTTGGAAGTATACTTGCTTCGTTTCTGAAGGAATTGACTTGGAAGTATGCGACTACCAAGCAAGTATCCTCGCGATTGAGAAACGGCCACAGTCCTTAGAATACCCCTCTGCCATTTTGAGCTGTAGGCCATATTTTTGCAGATGTGTTTATGTTTAGCCTGGAGGACCAGGGGGGTATACTACGAAGCAGGATTTTCGCTTAGGCGGCTAACTTCAGGGAAAACTCAGGGTTTCCGGTCCTACGAAGCAGGTTCTCTTTTTAGTAGTGACGGCGAGATGAAGCCTTATGAAGCTTTGAAGCTTTCCAGCCAATAGGTTCGCAAAAGGGTTCATCTCATGAGGCTTCATCATGGGCTTCATTTGAACACAAACCCCCTGTTGGTCAAAGTGTGTAAGACAGGCAGATTGGACATCTCAACAGTGTGCTCTATCTCATACCGAGTTCCCAATGAGTAAAGCCTTAGAATAACTCTAAACAACGAACATTAAATCATATTTTCATTTTAACAATATTGTTTTTATTCCAGTTTATTGATTGTGAGCCTAAGGAGGCTGGTAAACATTGCAAAGACGTATTTGTATTCCTTTAATAATATTCATAAACTTAACCATGTTGTAGCCTGAGAAAGGCTAAACCATATCAAAGAATACATTTATTAACTACATTATCTCATTTAGCTGTAGCTTTTATAAACAACAAAAAATACATATTGTTCAGTCGTTGAACCAGGGACCCTGCGGTCGTGAGTCAACTGCTTTCTAGCTGAGCCACAGCACACACACTGAATTTCCCTGAAAACACTCGAAAATATTTATTCCTGTATTTATTCATTTATTTATTCATGTTTTTATTCCTACATTTATTTATGCTTGTATCTATTTATACTTATGACATGTTCCGAGCTCTATATAAGTGAGGGTCTGAGCTCTTTTAATTCCATTCCATTCCATGGTTCTTATTATACATCCATGGGTATTATGAGCATTGTGGTTCAACGGTTCAACCATGGGTTCAACCGATCGGAATCACTTTCTGAAGCAGTCAGGTGGTATCGACAGGCAGCGAGGCTTCATTTGTCATTGATGACGTCACTGGCCCAAAACGATACAAGCCTCGATACATGCTTCACAAAATGCTTCGGGGATTACTCGACACACGCTCCGAAGCCTAGGCGCAATACATAACATCACTACTAAATGTTGTTTTTTAATATAAATATCACCTACCCTCAGACTTTGGTACTAATTTCCTTTTTTCTGTTCATTTCAGCTGAGTGTCCCTCTCCCCCTGAGCTGATTGGAGCTTATTAAGATCACCTGTTGGCTCCATATTAAGAGTTGAGAGGAGCTTGGTGCATTTCCCTGCATCATGTTAACGTTAATATCATTTGAGAGGCATGTTTTCATTGTGAAGGCACTTGTAAAAATGTTTAATTTCATGTAGCTGGAACTGGTACCCAGCCTCCCGATCACCTATAATGTGCAGAATAAGTCCCCTACCCAGGTTAAAACTAGCAAATTAGCTGTGTTTACAATTCCATATTTATAGCAACAAAACTACATTTGGGAACATCTGCCTGTTTGGAAGCCTGGCAAACAGTGGGGCATCTGTCTAGGGAAAAAAAACAACATGGCAGCGAACTCTAACCTTGCAGTGCAGGACCACCACGTGCTGGGGGTCAGAGGTCAGCCACGTCTCCATGGCCTTACATATGGCACAGATCTTATCCAGCGGTGGGGCATGGAGGTCTGGCCAGCCAAAATCGTAAACCTGTAGATTGAGATGGAGAAACGGATCATGTTGTTTGAGGTGATTTAATGTAAAGCTGTGCACTGAATTCTCCCAAAATGTGCGAGGACAAAGTCTACCTTCGTGTATAGTCGTGTGATATCGTGACGCCTCTCGGAGAGGTTCAGGAGCTGGAACAGAAACTATGTTAATCATGGGAGTGACAGAATAAAACAAACTGCTTATTTGTGGGTTGCCAAGTATATTTTGTGGCTTCCTGTGTGACTCTATTGTGCAACAAGTTTCTCCAGAATACTCTAAGGAGGGAAGTGAAATCACTGCTGTAACAAGCACCAAAGAACTTCTGTAATCACTAACCAGAAACTTGTCCTGGTGTTTGGACTTCAGCATGGCCGCCACCTCCTTCAGGTTCACGCGGTACCTCTGCTCCTCCAGCTTCGGGGGGAAGAACACAGAGATGATCCTCTCGGTGATGTAGGTCAGGTCGAAGTCGTAGTGGCGCTCCATGACTCTCTCCATCACACGGTCCACACTGAAGCTCCTGGACAAGGAAACGCAGAGGGGGGTTAAAAGAGAGCATAAGGTCACGGGTTGTTTGCAGCAGATCAACACGAACACACTCTGACCCAAACCTCTGGCTGCATGCATGGATGGAGAGAAAAGGAAAATAGAGAAATTGGATACTATGTGTGACATGAAGGAAGCCAACTTGTTCCTACACATGACTGATACTTAACCTTCCTGAAAGGATGACGACGGTTGCCATTACTGTGAGGAGGGTATTATAAAAAGAATAATGTTTTGAGCAAAGTGAGGAGCAGTGCAGATGTGGAAACTCATAGCCAATTAGTGGATATGTGTTTTCTCTGGAGCAAAGCAATATACAGAAGGAGGAGGCAAATAATATATATTTTCTATAATGTGTTTATGGCTTAGGAACTGGAAAAGTCCTTTCTTATTGTATTCATTTTCCGTCAGTTAAACCTGAAATGTTCCCATCAAATGTTGTCGTTTGTTGTTGTAATACTCATGTCAGCCACAAGAGGCTGTAATGCACCACCACCATATGCTCTAAATTAAACTAAAAGTAGCACATTAAAATACATTTCTACCCTTAAGGAATTAAACATTTGCCAATAAAACAAAGTCTACTGCAGGAAAAAAAAAACACCTGGAAGGAAACATAAATGCATTTACTATTTTGATCAAACATTTCTCCGTTGTCTCTCAGTGCTAACATACTTAAATAAATAAGTAATAAATTAAAAAAACATGTATATTATAAGAAATGAATGTAATGAAGTTTACCTTGGCAGGGTGTTCCTCTGTTTGGTGTAGGTCAGAGACTTGGTGGAGCCCTGTAAAAAAGAAAAGATACAGTTGGCCATCCCATTATCCAAATGCATGGTCCATTCAAGCTCAGATGCTTTATTTATTTTCCACTTAATGAACCAGTAAGCCATTTGAACCAAACACAATTTGTGTAGTGTTACAACTTGAAAGATAGCAAGTACAAAGCGGAGTTCTCGGCACCTCACTAAAATGGAGCGTAATGAACAAGGCAGCCTATTAGATCCTCAAAAAAAGATTTCTTGATATTTTCACATTTTCCCTAACAGGTTTGGACTTTTTCAAGATAGATAGCATGACACTGGGGATGGAGGGTGGAGACAGAAAATGGAAGATGCAGATAAAAAGTATGAAGATGAGGAAGACAAGGAGACAGGATGTGAGGTGTAAGTGTGCTCACCAGGTGCTGGATGTGTCGAGAAGGAGCGGTCCCTCGACGCTGCTGGATGTAAGAAAAGGTGATAGGAAGTAGAAGATAGGAGATAAGGGTGTGAAGAGTAGGATGGTAGGAGGACGTTGGATAAATGGAGGAGGTCGAAAGGAGGTGAGAGAGAGGAAGATGAGGGGGACACAGAGGAAGGAAAGGAGAGTTAATTAAACAAACAGACTATAATGGATAAACATTACTACTTCCTGTAGCAAGATCAACAGTTTTTTCTGGAATCCAGCAATGCTCAAACTGTGCTCAAACTGGGTTGAGGGCTCGGCTTCCCAAAAGGAATGCAGCAAGAGGAAACCATACAGTGGTTTTGGGAAGCCATAGCTCTTAACTAAGGCCAGACAGAGAGGGAAAACTGCACTTATAGACAGAATGCTACTAAGGAAAAGAGATGAAGGAGACTTACCAGATCATTGGTGGGAGCTGGGATGCATGCCGAGGTGACCTGGAACACACAAAGACAGCCACATGTGAATACAAGGTTTGCACACAGGGAAAAAACTGCTTCAGGACAGAGTCCTCAGACAGGAAGATGGATAAATCCACAAAAGACACCAAAGTCTGATTTAATATTGAAACTAAAGACTTGATAACATTCCCATATTTTTCAGTAAAATATATTGCTTGAGCAGGTAGAAATGTATGCTATAATACAAGCGACAAACTAACAAACAAACGAAAAGCAGTGCTACATTGTTGCTGCTAAAAAAGTTAGCTAATCGCTTGTTAGCAATGTAATATTGCATTGTATAGAATTGAGAACTGACTTAAAGTAAGATGTTTAAAAAATATAACATAACAGCGATTGTGGGGAAGAAAAGAGGAAATACTATGAGCCTGGTATTGTAGAGCTTACATAGCATTAGCCTCAGTTAGCTAGGCTATTATGTTCCCTTTGCTAACAACAAAGTAAAGAAAACTAGCATGTCACGCGGAGAAGTAATGTTATGACACAAAACTATTTCAGAGGTTACATAAGATACCTCTTTGGATTTTACACCACAGATGGAAAATAGACGATAAATGCAAAGGTGTTTGTTGACTGTTAAATGTTTAAAAGTTAGCTTGTAACTGGGGTCCTAGCTTAACAGGACTGTCAAAGTAAGTGAACGTTCCAGAACCTAACTCTTGTGAAAAGCAAAAGGTGTTTTTCAAAATGTTAAAATGGTTTGAATCAGAAAATACAAAAAATAAAGTAGTTATCTCTGCCAAGGACGCTATGTTTTTGGTTAAATGTGTTTTTTTGTAAGCGGGGTTAGAAAACAAAAACCACCAGCCCAATTTGATCTAGACCAGTGTTTTTCAAAGTGGGGGCCCCGACCCCCCGGGGGTCCGCCAGGGGGCGCCAGAAGGGTCACGCAAAGTTTGAGGGAAACTGGATTTTTTTTTTTTAAAGTTTAATATATATATTTTTTTAGATGTTATTAATAACTGCATATCTATCAATATATGTGTCCTTTGATGCCAATCTTTTAATATTTTTTGTTTTTGAATCATGACCGCCCTTCAAGCCAATCAGAATCGAGCTGCCGCTACTGAGAGTGAAACTGAGTATCTGCTCAGCTTTTGGAGCAAGTGAGAGCTAGTGAATGTTTCGCTCTGCAGCTGGATGAGAGCACGGATGTAGCAAATGTCGCAGAATTGCTTGCATGCATCAGATTTATTTCAGAAGACAACTTTGTTGAGGAAATATTATTTTACAAAGCACTGGAAGGTAGGACCACATGAAGAGACATTTTCCAAGTTCTAGATGAGTACATCATCTCAAATGGACTTGACTGGTCTCGTTGTGTGGGTGTTTGTTCAGATGGGGCAGTGGGGCTCTAGCTAGTAGGATCGCAACGATATATATAGATCTTCCCTTCGAACGTCGTAAAAATATGTGTCAGTAAAAAAATTTGCTCCTCGAATGTTTTTACCGTTGCAGTTTCTTTTCGTGGGCACCAGCTGGCTCCTCCAGTAACCCCTACTATTTTTAGGTCACCGTCGGCTGCCTTGTTGAGCTTTACACTTTCACAAGGTCCTACAGAGACGTTGTCTACGGGGCGGATGTGACGCAACGACGGGTGTCCAAGGATTTGACATTACCTTTTACGCGGTGCCGGAGCTTGCGTTCGCTCCGTCGGCCTCGGGACTCGCTCCTGCGAATCCCCTGCGAATTTGCCCCGGATGGGGCGACGTTCACCCTTTACACGGTAATAACAGGGTCAGGTCGGACGACCAGGTTACGGTCAAATGACAAACAAAAACTACTACATAAATTCTATAAAACTATATACAACAATAATGAAGACATACGGTTCAAAACCAGGGGGACGTAAAAAATCCCTGTTCAAACTTAATAAATTTAATAAACTTAACTGATCTAGTCCCCAAGGGTTTGAAACGGTACGGTTCCTGGGGGTATATAGTAATAGGAGTACCGCCCCTGGGGGGACAACGTTTATAAATTTTTTTACTACACATGTTCACGGAGCGCTACCTCGTACGTCACACAACGGGTGATGTAAACCCCGGAAGACGGACTAGCTTCGACAGTGAGGGAACAAA